TGTGGATATAAATTTACGTAAAAAAATTTCATTTTACATCAGAGGGAGAGATGTCACACTATACTAAACCCTAGTCAACCAATTAACACAAAAGCATGCTACATGCAAGGCTACAAAGCAACTAGGCATGATGGACTTAATGCAAATGCGGACAGATTCAATGCAGAAGCTTTAAAAATTAAGTCCTCTTAAACTACTCATGAAAATAACCCTAAAATAATACCATACCATCCAACACGGGTCTAGACCACTCAGTTAAAACAGTTTTGAACGATGCATGGCCATTCAGGAGAAATAAAAAAAATGGCACAGTCACTCAGTTTAAAATCCAGAACAAGGGAGGGAGTTTTGAAAATTCATATTAAATTCCGCACTGACCCAAAAACTACCAAATCTTACCCCAAGGCAGAAAAATTAGTTTAAAACATTTTCCAAGTGGAAACAAGGCATTTGAGTCTGTAAAACTCCAGTTCTACCAAAAAAAACACCCGAATGACCCTGTTTCAATGCAGTAGTGAGAAATAAATCATAACTGATTGAATACTTACCCAAATCATGCAAAAGACCTATCAATATGATGTGAACAGAGAGATGCAGAGACTCCTAAAGTTTCAAGATTTTCTAAGCAGGGAACCTATACGAAAATAATTTTCAAACATCGAGACGAAACATAAGGAAGTTACTAGCCGAAAAGCATGCATGCATATAAATAGTGAAAATTTGTTATTGACCCAAAAACTACCAAATCTTACCCCAAGGCAGAAAAATTAGTTTAAAACATTTTCCAAGTGGAAACAAGGCATTTGAGTCTGTAAAACTCCAGTTCTACCAAAAAAAACACCCGAATGACCCTGTTTCAATGCAGTAGTGAGAAATAAATCATAACTAATTGAATACTTACCCAAATCATGCAAAAGACCTATCAATATGATGTGAATAGAGAGATGCAGAGACTCCTAAAGTTTCATGATTTTCTAAGCAGAGAACCTATACGAAAATAATTTTCAAACATCGAGACGAAACATAAGGAAGTTACTAGCCGAAAAGCATGCATGCATATAAATAGTGAAAATTTGCTTTCGCTTACAAAAGGCTACGGATTACCGATTAATTATCCAAAATGAGGTAATCCTAGTTACTATTGCACATATTGTCTTTTAATAATTCCCACCGATCGGAGGAAGCGAACGGTAGAAAATACCTAAAACCGTATCAAAAGTCTTTACAAGAATATTATACAAATATAACCACATAACTAAATTAAGAGCCAACACAATCCACAACCCCTCCATACGATCTCCTTCTGATTCTCGAGCTCGATTCCCAACTTCACGCCTCGGGCCCTAAATCGGGTATACCTACAAACATACAACACCTATATGAGCCTTTGAGGACTCAATGAGAATCTTGAAGTATTATCGAATGCACATAGCACATAGAGCATACATATATCTATACATATATACATACATATATTGTATACATGAACATGCAACATAAAGTAAAACAATCATATACTTCCCTTTTTCGTCGGCGTTCTTCGTTCACATAATTGCCACACGCATAGAGTGAGATAATTCCCACTTTTATAACCCTATGATCCCAAGACCATAGAGTGAGAATATCCCACCTTTATAACCCTATGCCATGACACGTATTGAAGATTATAGAAGGAATTTCCCACCTTTATGACCCTACGATCCCAAGACCATAGAGTGAGATTTTCCCACCTATATCATCAACACCATAATGCAACATGCATGACATGAAAAATTGTCGGGAATCCCTCGGAAGAACCAATCTAAATTACCGGTAAATAACCTCACTGATAGAAGGAGAATATTTGGAGAGAAGAGAGAATAAATTATCTCTCACGTATATTAATCATATATATAGTTACATGTAGGAAACCCTAATCCTAACTACACAAGGTAACCTATTATACAAGGTAACCAGAATAAATAGGAATAATAATAATATACGTAATATATATATCATATATACGCTAATACACCCCCGCAGTCGAAACGGGAAAGGAGAGGACGTGGAGAATGGAGACAAACTGTTGGAACAGTTGAGTAGGGAGTCCTTTCGTGAAGATATCGGCAAACTGGTAGGCGGATGGGACGTGAAGAACTCGAACGTGTCCCAAAGCAACTTTGTCTCGGACAAAGTGGATATCAATCTCCACATGTTTCGTACGAGAGTGTTGAATAGGATTGCAGGATAGGTAGACGACACTGACGTTGTCATAGTAGACAATAGTGGCTTTCGAAAGTGGGCAGAGCAACTCAGAAAGTAGGTTGCGTAACCAAGTCGTTTCGGCGACGGCATTTGCGACAGCTCGATATTCGACCTCCGCACTCGATCGAGAAGTGGTGACCTGTCGTTTGGAGGACCAAGAGATGAGGTTGTTGCCGAGGAAAACACAATAGCCCGATGTCGAACGACGAGTGTCAGGGCAGCCACCCCAATCGGCGTCGGAGTAGGCGATAAGGGAGAGGTCCGGATTGGGGGAGAGCTGAAGGCCGTGATCGAGAGTCCCACAAATGTAGCAAAGGATACGCTTGAGAGCAGCCATATGAGGTTCCCTCGGATCATGCATGAATAGACATATTTGTTGCACATCATAGCAGATGTCAGGACGAGTAAACGTGAGGTATTGAAGTGCACCGGCAAGGCTGCGATAAAGAGTACGGTCAGCAACGGGGGGTCCAGAGGTCGAAGACAACTTGCTCTTTGTGTCAGCCGACGTAAGACAAGGGTTGCAGGAAGCCATGTGTGCACGCTCTAGTATCTCGTCGGCGTACTTGCGTTGAGAGAGAAACAGCCCATTCGACGAGTGAGTGACTGAGATGCCGAGAAAGTAGTAAAGATCGCCAAGATCCTTCATTGCGAACTCTTGAGTAAGGGCAGCGATGATAGAGCGTAGCAATTCAGGTGTGGAGGCCGTGAGTACAATGTCATCGACATAGAGCAGAAGGTAGGCGCATGAACTGTACCGACAGTCGCGTGAACTGTTGTGACAGTCGCGGCAACTGTTGCGACAGTACACAAAGAGTGAAGTGTCGGACTTGCATTCTCTGAACCCCATGCTAGTAATGTGAGATGCAAAACGCTTGTACCAAGCACGTGGTGCCTGCTTGAGACCGTAGAGTGCCTTGTTGAGACGACACACGTGAGTGGGGCGAGATGGATCGACGAATCCGGGAGGTTGCTCGCAGTAGACAGTTTCAGAGAGATTGCCATGTAAGAAGGCATTTTTCACGTCAAGTTGGTGGATTGGCCATGATCGCAAGAGAGCAATACTGAGAACTGTTCAAACAGTTGCTGGTTTGACCACCAGACTGAATGTTTCATCGAAATCAATGCCAGGGCGTTGATCAAAACCGCGAACAACCCATCGTGCTTTATACCATTCCAATGAACCATCAGCCTTCAATTTCTGCTTATAAAACCACTTGCCACTGATAACATTAGTAGAAGGGGGGCGGGGCACAATATCCCATGTGTTATTTTTAATCAAAGCAGTATATTCCTCAAGCAGTATACGCCAGTTTGGATCAAGGAGGGCATGGCGATATGTAGTGGGAGTTGGGGATGAGGTAGACACGGTAAGAAAAAAAGGGATTTTGGGCTTGTGAATACCGGCCTTGCTGCGTGTCAACATGGGATGGTTGGGCGGGGGTGATGAAGCGGGAGGGGGAGGCTGTGGTTCTGCTGGGTGTGGAGATGTAGTCGGGTGGAGGGGCATGGGTGTAGTTGAGGGAGGACTGTCGGACGAACTGTTGGGACAGTTGGATGAGACAGTAGGTGGTTCTGTAGTGTTGTTGGACGAACTGTTGGGACAGTTGTGTGAGACAATGGGTTGGACTTGTGTAGGCTGAGGAAGGAAGAGAAGTGGGTGCAGGGGTTCGGTCAAATTAGAGGTGGGGGAGTTGTGGGATGAGTCGGTGGATTCAGCAAATGGAAAACGGCTTTCATCAAAGTTCACATGACGGGAGATAATGATTCGACCGGTTGATCGATCGAGGCAACGATAGCCTTTGTGCGATGAGGGGTGACCAAGGTAGACACAAGGAGTAGAGCGAGGGGCGAGTTTGTGAGGGGTGGTGGCGGTTAAATTAGGATAACGGAGACAACCGAAGACACGAAGGTGAGAGTAGGTGGGTTTTGATTTGTATAGGGATTCATGGGGCGTGCGATTTTGTGTGGATTTGGTTGGGAGGATGTTGATGAGATGTGTGGCCATATGAAGGGCTTCTACCCAATAGGTGGGGGGAAGGTAAGCTTGAAAGAGAAGTGAGCGGATCATGTTCGTGATGGTGCGGATCATGCGTTCGGCATGTCTGTTTTGAGGTGAAGAGTGGGGACATGAGAAACGGTGAGAGATACCGTGTTTGGCAAAGTATGTTTGAAAATCGATGTTTTTTAATTCACGTCCATTATCGCATTGTAAAGCTTTAATGGGGTGCTGAAATTGGGTTTGTATAAGTTTGTGAAACTGTTGGAACAGTGAAAAAACATCAGAATTATAGTGTATTGGGATAGTCCATGTATAGTGGTTGAAATCATCTATTAACACGAGGTAATATTTGAAACCAGAAATACTAGAAATAGGAGAGGTCCATAAATCAACATGAATAATTTCAAAATGTACAACAATAATAGAATGACTTGTAAAGAAAGGTAAGCGAGAATGTTTGCCTAATTGACAAGCATTACAAAGAGACTCCCGTGGGTCTTTGGTACTAGAAATGAAATTGGAAAAAAAAAGACGAGACATGACAGGGTTGCCCGGGTGACCGAGACGACGATGCCATGAAGTAGAAGAGACAGGTGTGGTGTGAGCAAGGAGGGCGGCTGCGGTTGGGCTGGGAGAAGGGGCGCCAATAGCGTATAAATCACCGGAGCTATTACACCTGAGGATAACTGCTTTGGTCCGAAGGTCCTTCACAGAAAAGCCATAAGGGTCAAATTCAACGGAACATGAATTATCTCTAGTGATTTTTGCGGACAGACACGAGATTCTTAATGATGTGGGGAGTAACATAGACATTTGTTAGACGAAACGGGGTAGAGGTTAGGATGGTGTCGCCAACTTTAAGGATAGGAACGGTGGAGCCATTACCAACGATGACATGCTTGGGGAAATCATTACTAGGATTAAAAATAAAATGAAAATTACCGGAGTGAGGTGCCATGTGAGATGAGGCGCCCGTGTCCATAAACCACTGAGGTTCGCTCGATGACTGAAGAGTCAACGTGTTGAGATGAGTGGCAAGATTTGTTGGCTGCAGGGGACCACTGTTAGATAAACTGTTGGAACAGTTCACGTGCTGTTGAGGAGGGTAATTGTAGGCAGTGGAGGAGGGGCGAGGTGTCGGATCTTGCTGTCCAACGTAATAAGCATGAGCTGTAGGAGCATGGTAAGGACTAGGAGAGCTTGGGGGAGGGGGGGGGGGGGGTCCATGTATCGATGAAGAGGTCCGAGGCGTATAAGGGGCCCGCCAAGGTTGTGATTGGTTATGAAATTGATTGTAACCGTAGTGTTGCATCGGATATCGTGACTGACCACGACCACCCCGACGGTTTGTGCGACCGCCACCTCGCTGATTGCGCCAAGAACCACCACCTCGATAATTACTGGAATTATTGGGCCAACTGTTGGAACTGTTTGGCCGACTGTTGAAACTGTTGGGCCGAGATGCGTAGAGAACAGTAGGGGTCTGCTCCGGTTCAGCAATGCAATGTTCTTCCATCTGGAGTAGTGAACGTGTTTGGAGAAAAGATGGCTACGGAGTTTGGAAGGAGATTAGATTGACAATGGTCCCGTAATGTTTTGGCAAACCGTGGAGGGTTTGGAGGACGAGTTTCTTGTCGGACACGGGGTTGCCGATGTCTGCCAAGTTGTCGGCAGTGGTTTTGAGAAGTTGACAATAATCATGGATCGAAAGAGATCCTTTCTTGAGGGACTTGAACTGTTCTTCGAGTTGGATGGCCCGATAGTCTTCGTTGTCTGTAAAGAGAGAGGCGAGGGCCTTCCACAGATCATGAGCCATTGCGGTTTTGGAGAGAACCATGCTTCAGAGGTCCTCGGTTATGGTGCCATAGATCCAAGATTGGAGGAGGTAATCCGCGCGTTGCCATTCATCGGCGGAGATGTTGTCGGGCTTTTTGTTTCCGAGAAACAGATCAGTGAGGCAGAATCGGCCTGCGGTGATGATGAAGAAATGGCTTCACTTTTGATAGTTCGGATTTTTAATATCCAGGGTTACAGGAATAAGAGCTTTGATGTTAGATATAGCATGAACAAGGTGAAAAGGGTTGGAAATCATGGTCGGTGTTGGTGTTTCGTTGGCCATGGTTGAAGAGAAGAAGGCAGAACGAGAAAAAAAATTGAAGAAGGAGAGAAACGGCGGCTAGGGTTTTTGGCTTGATACCATGATAGAAGGAGAATATTTGGAGAGAAGAGAGAATAAATTATCTCTCACGTATATTAATCATATATATAGTTACATGTATGAAACCCTAATCCTAACTACACAAGGTAACCTATTATACAAGGAAACTTGAATAAATAGGAATAATACTAATATACGTAATATATATATAATATATACGCTAATACTCACATATATATCGAATCATGTCTATCTACGTGGGATCAAACCACCCCTAGGCCCTACGGTACCGACTCGTCGTACCCGGGAAAGTTACCGTAACCTCGAAGGACTTTCCATCATAGTTTTATCTTTTAATATTTCATGACACTAATGCACCCACACATGCACCCTTCTACTTACCATTCTCTCATCCTCACACCCAATGATTCACATAAGCAAGCAAGAGAACATAGAAAATACACATAAAGTTTCACCAAAATCATTTAGCCACAAAAAAACATAAAGTGACCAAAATCTTAACATGCAAAGACAATCTAACATCAAAGTTCACTAAATCTAGCATTTTTACAAGAATAAGATTCAAGACTTACATCTTTACATTTATTCAAGTAAATACACTAGATCTTCACATGCAAGAGTATGCTAAATCAAGTTAGCACAAATCCTTAGTTCTTAAATCATTTTACATAGAAAACACTAGATCTTGACATGCAAGACTTTAGATCAACCATCAATCACTAGATCTTAACATGCAAGACCTTAGATCAACAGTCAATCACCAAATCTTAACATGCAAGGCCTTAAAACAACAATCAACACAAGATCAACACATACAAGATAGCAAATAAACCAAATAAGCAATTTTAAGCATTTTACCTCAAAATTCGAAGGTTACTTAGCTAAGTCAAAAATTCAATTTTTTTCTTCACAAATCAACAATCAAACACTAGATTAACACATGCAAAACACTAATTAAGCCAAATAAGCAATTTAAGCATTTTTCCCCCAAAAATCCGAAAGTTTCATGGCTAGGCCAAAAATTCATTTTCTTTTCACAAATCAACAATCAAACACTAGATTTACACATGCAAGGCATTAATTAAGCCAAATAAGCAATTTAAACATTTTTCCCAAAATTTTCGAAAAATCATAGAACTTCAAGAACAAAGTTATCTTTTCAAAACACTAACATGCAATCATCATCTAAAACATATAATCACATAATTTGCAAGAATAAACAATGAAAACACATAAAAACACATAAAAACCGAAAATACTAGTGGTGTTATAGGTTTCATCAAGAATTCAAGAATTCTCACCTCTACTCTTTAGGGGAAGGATTTGTTTAGCTCTTTTCTCTCTAATATAAGAAGAGATTAAGAGTTAGATTAGGCATTAAGAAAATAAGAAGAAGAACAAAAGAACTGGGAGGAAGAAGAGCTTTGCTCTTTCGGAAAAGAAGAAGAAAGAAGAGGGAGGAGAAGCTTACTCCTAAGCTTGGCCGAAAATTCTTCTTTTGTTGAAATAGAAGGAGGCTTTGAACTTAAGGATTGTAAGAGTGGAGTTTGAGAGTGTATTTTGATCTTGCGCATGGGAGGTATTTATAGAATTTTTGGAGAGTTCAAAGCCAATGGAGAAGAAAAAGAAATACATCTTTATGTGGGGGTGATTTTGAAATTTCCGAAAGTTGAGGTGGTGGTGGTTCTTGGGTGGTTCAAGCTTGAGAAGGTGGTGGTTATGGTGGTGGGGGTGAGGCTGCCGAAATGGAGGAGGAAGGGAGAAGAAGAAAGACTTTTGGTCTTCCTTAAAGGAGTGAAAAGCATGCCTAGTGTATATAGTATGGAACTACGCTTGAGTATTTCTTTCTATGCTCAAAGTACAACCACACTAATGCATGTTCTTCTATTAATTAATATGCAAACATTTAAAAATCATGTGTGTGTGTGTGTGTAATGTCCGAAAATTCAAGAAAATGTGGAGAGGATTTTCTAATTTTCGACATTAATTAAAAATCCTAAAATTCATGATAAAAATTAATTTTCTAAAATTTTGTGCATGCATAAATATGGTGAAATGCTCATTTAAATTCATATGCAAGAATAAAATCATAATCAATGAAAATAAATTATTTCGAAATAATATATCGAAATATTTCCTAATCACATAATTCACATAATCACATAATTCATATATTTAACATAATTACCTAATTCACCTAAATACTAACCATGCAACAATTATTATAAATTCTAATTTCACAAATATGCACATAAAGGTGGTAAAAATTATTTTACCGAAAATGCGGGGTGTTACAGTTGCAATTAGGAAAATAAAATCAAATTAGAAGAGAGAATCCCTCAACATCTTTGGTAGTGTACGTCCACGAAGTCGAGCATAACTTTCTCACCCGGACTCCATATCAACTAGTTTCCCGCGGCATTAAAAAGCTATTTCACTAGGCTACAATTCCTGGCTAATGCCAAAAATCCAAATTAGGACTCGAACATGGTCAAAATTGGATTCCAAAAGCGTTCATGAAAATACATACTATAGTTCGAGGACATGAATGCGCATCAAGAAACGTGCACAAAAACACTCGGTACAAAGATACGCACATAAGTAAGAGTACAAAAGCATGCACAAAAGTACTCACGCAAATGTGCATTCGCAAAAAGGATCATGAAAACGTAAACAAGAATCCTAGGACATTAATACAAATCAACAAACTTGCACTAGCACACTGTCTCAAATGGAGTGATCGCAACAACGTTCTTAAAAACATGAACTACAATACTAGGACTTTAATAAGCATTAACAAAGAACAACAAAAACACTAGATAAAAAAGATACAGTGGAGTGTAGAAATAAAACTCTACGTTTACGGTTCCGTGGATTTTTTTTCGGATTAGTTTATATTTGGGTTTGAATTGGTCGATTTGGTATATTATAGGTACAAATCGAAAATTAGGTGTCCAGGAAGCAAAAATGATCAAAGAGTAACAAAAGAGTTGCAATTAGGAAAATAAAATCAAATTAGAAGAGAGAGCCCCTCAACATCTTTGGTAGTGTACGTCCAAGAAGTCGAGCATAACTTTCTCATCCGGACTCCAAATCAACAGGTTACGGCGGCATTAGAAAGCTATTTCAGCTGGCTACAATTCCTGACTAACGGCAAAAATCCAAATTTGGACTCGAACATGGTCAAAATTGGATTCCAAAAGCGATCATGAAAAAACATACTAGAGTTCGAGGACATGAATGCGCATCAAGAAACGTGCACAAAAACACTCGCTAGAAAGATACGCACATAAGTAAGAGTACAAAAGCATGCAAAAAAGTACTCACGCAAAAGTGCATTCGCAAAAAGGATCATGAAAACAGAAACTACAATCCTAGGAGATTAATACAAATCAACAAACATGCACAAGCACACTCGCTCAAATGGACACGCACCAACGTACATGTAAAAAAACATGCGCAAAAGTGCATTCGGAGCAACGTTCTTAAAAACACGAACTACAATACTAGGGCTTTAATACGCAACAACTAACAACAACAAAAACAGTAGATAAAAAACATACAGTGGAGTGTAGAAATAAAACTCTACGTTTAGATTACGTTGATATTTTTTCGGATAATTTATATTCTGTTTGAATTGGTGGATTTGGTATCTTATAGGTACAAATCGAAAATTAGGTATCCAGGAAGCAAAAATGATCAAAGAGTAACAAAAGAGTTGCAATTACGAAATAATATGAAATTAGAAGAGAGAATCCCACAACATCTTTGATAGTGTAGGTCCTCGAAGTCGAGCATAACTTTCTCATCCGGACTCCAAATAAACTGGTTTTGGCGGCATTAGAAAGCTATTTCAGCTTGCTCCAATTCCTGTCTAACGGAAAAAATCCAAATTCGGACTCCAACATGGTCAAAATTGGATTCAAAAAGCGATCATGAAAACACGTACTACAGTTCGAGGACATGAATGGGCATCAAGAAACATGCACAAAAACACTCGCTAGAAAGAAACGGACATAAGTAAGAGTACAAAAGCACGCACAAAAGTACTCACGCAAAGGTGCATTCGCAAAAAGGATCATGAAAACATCAACTCCAATCCTAGGACACTAATACAAATCAACAAGCAGGCACAAGCACACTCGCTCAAATGGACATGCACAAACGTACATGTAAACAACCATGCACAAAAGTGCATTCGCAACAACGTTCTTAAAAACACGAACCACAATACTAGGACTTTAATACGCATTAACGAACAACAACAAAAACACTAGATAAAAAAGATACAGTGGAGTGTAGAAATAAAACATTACGTTTACGTTTTAGTGGATTTT